GCCGAGCTCCCATCTGGGGTAAGGGACGCGACATTTGTCACGTCACACTATCAAACGGTCGCCACTCGGTTTGACCTCTGACTACCGAGAAGATAAGTATGCTTTGGCGCCTCGATTATATACAAGACTCTAATATTATTTTATTTCTTTCAGGTTGACGTCCAGGATGGATCATCACTGCTGCTCTGCTTCCTCGGATCTTCGCATTACCGCATACCGGAGTATAATTCACCGCGATTATTATTAACAATACTCTAATATTTTTCTTCTGTTTCAGGTTCCTGCCCAGGATGGATCATCCCCGCTGCTGGATTTCCCCGGATCCTCGCTTTATCGCATACCGGATCGCCGCTGGACAACGATGGATCATCGCCGATGGACAAGGTGAATAGAAGGTAAGTATGTTTAAATAATCTTGGAATTAATTTTCACAAATAACGATTCTCTTTATTTCAGATCGTCGGTTATAATGCTACAATGCTTTTTGCATACATAAGTTTCCACGTCAGAATGCACTTTGCCGCTCGGATATCACTCCAAGGTAAGTATGTATACTGTTGTATAACATTAACGATTACTTTATTTCAGATCGCCGTTTCAATGATACAAGATGTTTCACAATTGTCAAGGTGGTTCACAATGACTGGATCACGCACCCGTTTGTGCGTTCTACGGCCAACACTCTTTGATCACGTGACAGCTGTGTGTCACTCGCTTATTTCAAACAATTATTGCATTCGCAATTACACGGGAGCTTCCGGTTGTTATATACAACTAATAACGATGTCCGTACAATATTTCGTAGTCGTGAGACCCAATGTCCACGATTGTAATTTACTCGATATTCACTTCCGTTTGCTAATGTTGTATCCGAATTACTACCCTACGCTTTCGGCAAACACTTTAATGTTAATGGTAACTGGGTACCTCTCGTTATGTCGAACGAGTAATTTAACGCGATGACACGCGGGAGTTCCCAATTGTAAGGTATATCCAATAGCTATCGCCGTATACGTCCGTTCGCTATGGGTATACTAGAGAGACTTCCCCGAGCGATGGCTCTCGCTTTGGCCCCCACTACGGCGCGCCTTCCCCCTCTACGCGACTTTTGTTCTCGAACGTTCCTAACTACGCACTTAGATCACGCGGCCCCCGCGTGGGCTCTTTCTAGAACGTTCCGGTGGATATTTCCACGCTTATTGCGTCGTAGCGACGTTCCTCTGCTGGCACCGCTGCACCAGGTATCGTCGGTTGTCCGTCCTTCGTCGCCGTTGACGCCGACCCGTGCGCACCTTGTCGGAGATGCCCCTTGTGATGATTCCGGGCGAATTTCCCGTGGAAAATGTCCGGGTGCACTTGTCATTGCCGGCCGTTGACGCCCACCCCTCGGGTGCGTCTCTGGGGCGCCTAAAATGCCTCCCCGGATGGTTGCTCTCGGCGACGGTGCTCGCCGCGCCACCTGGTAGTCGGGCGATGGCGCCGACCCTATAGGCGGGCGTCCCAGGTCCTGCGGCGCTGGTTTCTGACCTTTGTTCCTGAGGCAAAGTTCGAAAGTCAGCATGACATGATTCGAGCCTGCTACAAGGACCGCTACGCTGAAAGTGAGTACGCCAAATCTGATTTACTCGACAACGCCGAGAATGCTTACGTGCATCAGCGTAGCGTCCTGTCCGAACAGGCGAACCGCCTCAAGCCCGCGCCAGCTTCCACGTCTTCCGCGCCGTCGGAGCAGGGGGGCGAGCGCGCGTCGAGAACCTCGCTGCCCCGTATACAACTGCCGCACTTTTCGGGTGCATACGAAGACTGGCTGTCCTTCCGGAATCTCTTTTGGTCGGTCATCGGCGACCAGTCGTTCATTTCGCCAGTCGAACGGCTGCACTACCTCCGCTCGTGTCTCAAAGGGCCAGCTGAAAAATTGATAAAGTCACTAACGATCACTGGCGAAAATTACGATCGCGGCGGAGCGTTCGGGAAGTACGGCGTCCCGACGCCGCGATTGCGTTCGGTGGCTCTCGGCCGTTTTCGGCACCGCTCGGCGCTCCGAGTCGGTTGCCGCGCTAAGTCCGTTTGCGGACTGATACGCGAGATGAATAGATTAAAAAAGGGCACAACGTGCCTTGTCTCGCCCGGCGGGTGTTCGGCCGGGCGGCATCCGGCTGATGCTCGCCGGGAATGATGCGTCTCGGGGCGCATCGTTACACTTCTATTATTTTGACAATTTTTTTCTGGAAAAAATTCCGTAAAAGAGAAGACACGTATTTTTTTATTTGGCCTACAATTAATATTGATGGAAGAATAAGATGGAAGAAAATAAATAAGATGGAAAAAAATAAAAGAAAAGTTACCAAAAGAATTTAGATGGAGAGTACAGATAACGACCAGAAAGAACAGGAAAGGTAGAGCGTGCGGAGGCATGTTATTAGGAATAAGGAAAAGTGTAGAAGAGGTAAAGGAAGGAAGGGGGATGGTAGAGGAAGAAAGAAGAATAGAAGGTAAGATAAGAATAGGAGAGGAAATATGGAGAATAATAGGAATTTATGTAAACAACAATATAGACAAGAAGTTAGAAAGTTTGAAGGAGTGAACGGAGGAGGGGGAGAAAGGAGTAATGACCATAGTAGGTGGTGACTTTAATGCGAGAACAGGAGAGGAAGGAGGATGGGAAGAGGAAGTCAAGGGAAGAGGGGAAGAAAGAGGGAGAAAATCTAAAGACAAATAGGTAAATAAGGATGGTAGGAAACTACTGGAATTTATCGAGGAAAGAGGATGAGTGATACTAAATGGAGGCATGAAGGGGGATGAGGAGGGAGAATTTACATACACAAGAGGAAAAGGTGAGACAGTTATAAACTACGTAATTGGGGACGAGGAGGTCAGAGAAAGAATAGAAAGATAGGAAGTAGGAGAAAGGGTAGACTCAGGGTGCAGTCCCATTAAGCACGGATCGGAATGACGGATCGGATTTCTCACTAAAATTGACTAGAATTGAGCGGTCCGTTCCAGTTCCGTTCCGTAACAGTTTTCTCTACCAGTTCCATGTAGCAAAAACGGATCGGAACGTCGCTTTGGTCGCAGGTAAATGTGCCTTATTCGTCGATATTTTGTTATTTTGATGCGACTGAAGCAATAAACATACATTATTTGTGCAATTATCTTGCCGATAACATTGTTGTGAGTACTCTGAAATACTGAATTGTAGAAGTAAAATATATTTTGTAACCAGATTCCGTTCTGTTTTTGCTACATGGGACTGGTAGAAAAACTTTTTACGGAACGGAACGGACATGCGTGATTGAGTTGAGAGAGAAAATGTCAAAAAAAAACGTAAACAATACTTTGTAATATTAGACAGTTTTAACTTACGTTGGAGTGCGCACGTGCTCTCTGGTTTGTTATTTTAACTATATACGTGTTTTTAGCGAAGTTGTATTGTTTGAACAATCTTTTCATTTCTACATCTATTTTATATATATCTAGACATCGTTCCATATCTGGATTTTGGCTGGCTGGAGGCACTACTCGTTGAAAAGGCTAAATTGAAAAAGAAGAAAAATTTTAACGTGGCTGTGTGAAAATAACATTTTGAAACACATAACGATGGATGAAAAAACAGTCTTATTAGTTATGTTAAAAATACTGCGAACGGCGAACAATTTACCAACTTGGCATACTGTACCGGTGTTTAACAGAGTGCGAAAGCTATATTTAGGTTACATTGTTTTATTGCAAAAGCTGGAAAATATGAGAAAAAACGGAAATTCTGGGTACGACCAATGTTTACGCACGAAATGAGGCATTTACAAGGTGTAAGTGACAATTTAGTCGTTGAGATGCAAATAACTGATCGTGAAAAGTTCTTCAATTACTTCAGAATGACTCCGGAAGTATTTCAAAAACTGCTAACGTTAGTTGGACCACGGATTCAGAAAGAAGAAGTTTGTCGAATCCCAATTTCAGCTCGTACAAGATTGCAGCTGACTTTGCGCTGGTTAGCATCTGGTGACAGTTTAGCATCTCATTCGTATGCATTTCGTATTGCATGCAATACAGCATCCAAAATCGTAAGGGAGACTTGCACTGCATTGTGGGAGGTCTTGAAAGATAAAGTTTTTCTGCAACCCACCGCTGACAATTGGCAACAGGTTGCTGACGAGTTTCAGAAAATCTGTCAATTTCCAAACTGCATTGGATCTATAGATGGAAAGCACATTATCATTCAGGTACGTATCTGATACAACCATTTTTCATACATTTTTTAATAAATCTGACATTATTGTATTCTTGTTAATTGTAGGCACCACCGAATAGTGGCTCGTCCTGCTATAATTACAAAGGTAACCACAGCATCAATCTACTTGCTGTGAGTGATGCAAATTGTTGCTTCAGCATCGTGGACATCGGAGCGGAAGGAAGGCGTAGCGATGCGGGTGTATTTGCTAGCAGTGACCTTGCTCGCCTATTGGATACGAAATCACTTCAACTGCCTCCGGACAGGCATTTGGATAATAGCGGATTCAAATTTCCATACGTCCTAGTAGGAGACGAAGCATTTCCGCTAACATCTTATATGATGCGGCCATACTCTCGAAGTAGGAACTTAACTGTTACGAAGAAAATCTTTAATTATAGATTAAGTCGGGCGCGAAGAACTGTAGAATGTTCATTTGGGATACTAGCGGCAAGATAACGAATTTTTCGTCGGCCAATTATCGCTCATATTTCAACGGCTAAATTAGCCGTTCAAGCTGCAACGGCTGTACATAATTTTCTAATGAAACACGAACTTCAATTGGAGCCAACGAAAAGAACTTATTCTGTTTTAAGTGGCAATGATCGAAATGTAACGTCGACCGGAATTGAAAATGTACGTAATTGCAGTGCGCGAAGGAACGTTGAGACTATACGAATTAGATACTTTTTTGCTACGTATTTTGAAACTTCGAACCCACTTGATTGGCAATGGAGAAAAGCTCTAAACAATGAGTATTAAATTTCTATCATGTATTATATATTATGTAAAAAGTGATCCCTCATGGAAAAACGCCCGTTGATTGTC